GAGTATAACAGGCGTGTGTGCAAGTACGGCATGAATAAGAGACACACAGTGAGAGAGAAGCTTTCCAGACTGTCTGACAGGCAGCTCCAGCTAATGACTATAATCCCTGTATTACAGATTAGAAAAATATCATCCAGGGATACCTTTTTAAAAAGTGAGTGGTCCATTGCTTTATATGGCTTTATACAGCAATATTTCTGATTTTATCTAACTCTTTAACTCTTTAGGGTCAAAGAGATCAGAAAGAAGCCCGTGGACACAGAAGAGACATGTTGTTCTACCGCCATCCAGTAGAGGGCGACAGAACTACTGTTTCATCCAGATGTGTATGTGTTCTATCTTTGTGAGGCTTTGAGTTTTGGACCTTGACAATGAGGCCTCACTTCTTCAAAGGGCTGTTTAGACTTTAGATGTAGAAGTTTTGGAGATAAGGTTATTATTCAGTTTAACTTAAGTTCAGGATATGGGGTGGTTTAGGCATGCGGTTGTTGTGTTTAAGGTTTGGGTAGGAACAATGCATTATATCAATGGGTCCTTATAAGCATGCACAGATAAACATATTGTATATCTGTGTGTAAGTGTAGGAGTAGCCCTTTTATGGGGACAAGTTTACACACTCACATTGCAGGGTCTTCCTGTCCAAACCAGGACAAAAAACATGTCCCCACGATCTTAAGCATTGATGTTAGGGTTAGTACTTGGCTTTATGTTTCAGTTTTGGTTTAGTTTGACAATTACATTTTGAACTAAAGGTCCTCTTTCTTTTTCTTGCAAGGATTTCAACCATGTCTTCATCAAAAGATGGGTCATTGCTCAGTTGTCATCATCAGTACGGGGCAAGTTATTTGAATAAATGTAATCAATTGTAATGTAATAACATTACTAATTGCTTAACAGCAAAAATTTGAATTAGTTACATTACCCATTTATTCACTCTTGTTACTAAGAACATGTTAATCAAATGTGCCTATAAAATCCCACTTAGCACACGAGAAGGAAATAAAAAAACAAGACTTGATTTAATAAACAGCCAGCTTCCGTTTTGGAGATATTTATCATCACCTTAGTTTAGACCCATTGACTGCACGCAGCCAGGGGAGTTGCATGTAACTGTAATACCGCCCAACACAGCACATCATGTGACCCATGTGATGTAATTATGGCACAGGTGGTGATTAAGGAAGTGGATGAAAGTTTTACTGTCTACCAATCCCAGTTCATCCATCATCCTCTCTGCAGTGACATCACACAGCACCTTCAATTCAGTTATTATAATATCATATATTTATGTTATATAAATATGCATGTCTTATATATTTATATTATATATAAATATATAAGATCAAGCTTCCCTCACTCACTTCTCCCCCAAAGGCCCTTTTTTTACTTTTGTCCATCCCTCCCTCTCATCCCTCCATCACTGGAGCAGGAAGAGGATGAGGTGTAATGAGACACCTGGGTCAATCCACCTCATCAATATCACCAAGACAACCTGCGCTGCCGCAATCTACCCAGTAAAACCCCATGATAAAGGGCCACCAACACATTTAGTTTCCACTCTGGTCATAACTCAAACTAAACTACCTGCACTGGAATCAGTCAACCTGAGGAACACAAATGGCAGACTATCAACATAGAGCGGATCATAAACAAAGTTCAAGAGGACATTTTACTGAGGTCAGCCAGACATGCATAAATCCCAGCTTGTTTTTCACGCTGTTAAAGGGTCATTAAGTAAGATTTGTACTGCCCCATAGCACAAAATGACTGCATTATATCTCGATAAGGTTTCTGGTCAATACTTCAGAGGTTCCACTGAAGCATTTTGAGGTGCCTCAAGGGAACTTTGATGAAAGTAATTGAGCAATTATTTTTTTATTATTATTTCATCACTTCATCCATGTAGATTCATTCAGTTACTTAGGTGATTCAACCCAATTTTATTTACATTATATTAAAATCTAAATATATTCATTTTTATAACATTATAATATATCGAAGTGTCAGAGCAAAGTTTTACAAAAATAGTTTGGAAATGGGAAATATGCTTACTTGCTTCCCTTCCTAGACTTAGACGAGAAAATCGATACCCCTCTCACTTCTACATGTTAAGTGCAGAGCTGGAGGCAGAAGGCAATTAGCCTAGCTTAGCATAAAGACACAAGGGGAAACAGCTAGCCGGATTTTCTGTTCACCACAAACAGTAATGTAAAAATGACAATTTGCAGCTTTATAGCAAAGTTACGAGTTCCCAGACTCTTGTCATTACAGTGAAGTTACCAGGCAACCCACGGCGACACTGCACATTATTGTTGTTGCTGTTGGGCAAGAAATACAGCACATAACTTCCTCTGAAAACAACAAAATGTTGGTTTTACATTTCTGTTTGTGAGATACTATGGGTTGATTACAGCACTTTAGAGGTGCTAGTGGGCAGATTGTATTACTTTGTAAAACCAGGCTTTAGTCAGGCTTTATCTGATAAGTTTTCCCAAATCGTTTCACTATCAAATTTTATCCATTCGGTCTGCTAAGATTTGGAAAGTCTAGAAGAACTGAATGATTAAATCATTTTATCTCCATTAAACTTAGTGGAGAGCTAAGCTAAGTTATTTTTTTGGCCTTTTATTGCCTTTATTTGATAGATACAGCTGAAGATAGACAGGAAAGGGGGGTAGAGAGACGGGATGACACGCAGCAAAGGGCCGCAGGTCAGATTCGAACCCTGGGCTGCTGCAGCACTCATTATACCTGCTTAACATTATCATCATGTCAGCCTTGCAACTGAAAGCTTGTTAGCATGCTGGGGATTATCAGTAGGCCTCTATATGTACTGTTCCAGGCTGTTGTTAGGGCGCAGTTTCTGTCGCAACACTTTTGTTTCCGGCTCTTAGCACATTAACTATTCAGTTCCAGTAGCTGCCAAGCTGGTTAAAAGCGACTTTTCACCCTGTGAAGTGGACAAGGACTTGTGAGATGTGTGTGTGTGATTCTGAGTATGTGTGAATATATGTGTGTATGTGGGAGGAGGTAAATGAGGTTCATTCTGTTCTGAAATCTGCCTCTTCACTTCCTGTTCTATGAGCAGCTTCCGTTTCAGCATTGTTAACAGAGTCGCTACACGGCGGCTGCATCCCCTCAACCCAGACAACCTGCCTGCACAGCTTCCTGTGTGTGTGTGTGTGTGTGTGCATCTTTGTGTGTTCTAATATATATATATATATAGTGGGTTTGGTTGCGAATACATTCATTGGCCAAAGCAAAGATAGAGGAAGATGTATCAGTAGCTTCCTCTTTCACTCATAAAATAATGCCTGTTTCTTAAATCAGCACTTTTGAAAAGTGTCTCTGCCCTGGAAAACAGAAAACAAGAAGCCAAAAGATTAACGCTTCCTCTCAAGATCATTGCTCATCTGTTTCGTTTATTTTAAAAAAAGGAAATGAAGTCTGTTTCATGAACCACAACATGGAACTGGAACTTCATGTGATGTGTATGTATTTAAATAAAAGTAGGCTATGTGTACTGAAAACCAAGTCATTAGTTCATTTTAGTGGAATATCCAACTGTTCCTTACTGAATAAGCCCTGCGCTGTGTCTGAGTGTCAGTACCATCAACCCTGGAAGTCAACGATTCTGGGCCCATAAAACCAACTCAAAATCCTTCACATGTAGTGTTCCTAAAGATAAAGTCAGCTTTGATTTTACCAGCCAGGTTGCACAGAGAGAATTCTGATTGAGATGAATAAATGTTCCTGGTAAAGTATCACTCATAGATACAATTGGAGTTGGCAAAGTCTGAGAAAACACAGAGAGAGACGGTAAGCCAGCAAACACAAAATTATATTTGACTCTGATTATTAGACACTTTTGCTTTGGCAGTAACTGATTTAGTATTTCATGCCAATAAAGCACCTTTGAATTCAACAAAAATAAAAAATAAAGCGCCACTGCTGCCTGAAATTCAGCTCTCAAAGGGATCTCTTGTCAAATCTTTCACAGAAAAAATTACTACAAAACCTAATCTCACCTTAACTGGAGTCTATAAACCAAGCTAAACCCTTCGACAGTAATGACCTTTTACATTTTTTTTTAAAGTACCTATATTTTTTTTGGCTTTTATGCCTTTATTTGATAGGACAGCTGGAAACAGACAGGAAAGGGGGCAGAGAGAGGGGATGACACGCAGCAAAGGCTGCAGGTCGGAATTCAAACCCTGGGCCGCTGCAGCAAGGACTCAGCCTTGGTACATGGTCGCCAGCCTACCCGAGCTAACTGGGCGCCCAGACCTTTTACATTTTTGAGTTTGAAAAACCAATCCCTAAATGTTACAGATGCAAGTAAGAAAACCAGCTGAAGTTATGTTTTTTCACACTGACACCTACGTTTCAACAGGCTGCAAAAAGCTAATTCAGCCCATTTCCACTGTTTCTCTCTGCATGTTGGAATTCAAAAGGTTTTCATCTGTATGTTTTTACACTCTTTACATCAGTTGTCAGTAAATTGACCAACCGAATCACCCAGGAACGAAACCTTAATCAGCCAAGTCAATCATGAGACCTGCAGCTTCAAAGCAGGAAGGAAGTGTGATTTTCATTTCAACATCACCACAGCACATGTCTGCTTAAAGGCCAGATGATGGGCCAGATAGTTTCATTGTTTTTAATGAAGTAAATGCATAATATAATACTTTAAATGAGTTGATGATTTCCTTATTAAAACAGTTTGCTTTGATTGATGTGTAAAGAGAAAATCAGCCTCTTTTAGATAAGGTTGAAACTCTGGACCTGTCACTAATTATCACTTTGTGCTCACTTGGATCTCAGCAGTCCACTTTGATGACGCAGAAGTGACCACATCTAATAAAGCTTCTGATAGGGGGGTTGGCAACTGTTCAACTGTTTTACAGATGCAGGGGGCTTTGAATGAAAGCTGCAGGTGTCTGAAATATGTCTAAAATGTACGGATATTCAGAGCAGCCTGTGACAGCACAGATACTTACATGCGCCTTGGTTCTGGAGATCCACGTCTCCAAAAGGAGCGCAAGGCGCGTCTTGTGGAACCTCCCGGTGGTCTTCACAGCGATGTAAATGTCTTCCAGCTTCAGTTTCGGCTGGGTTACATGTGCAACTTCAGGGGCCGGGTGTCCTCCATCCCCGCTGCGACTGTAGCTAGCCGGAGTCTGCGCGTCCTTGGCCGGGGAGGGAGCCTGCTGGATGGAGCGTTGAAGCGCACCGGATGAAGGATGGTGAGCCACACTGACTTTGGGAAGGCTGCTTGTGCGTAATTGAAAATCCACGTAAAGAATGATGAAGAAGGTGATTATCAAGACAGGCAGCCTCCGACGTATCCATCTCTTATGCATGGTAGTAAAAAAAAAAAAAAAGTTATTTAGATTCCATAAAGCATTAAAACCACGTCCTGGGTCCCCTCATATAAAATCTTCATGTTCATTCGATTTGGTCTAGTTTCGTGTCGGTTCCTCCATCACCTCTGCGTCTTCCTTCTCTACAACGTTATCATCCGTGTTCCTCATTTGTCAACTCCTTATTTGCATGACTGTAGACTTCTTCAACAAAATGTAATAATCCTAGAATGACCCTAATCACTTTTTAGAATTTCGCCTGTTTTAAGTAGGCTACAGCTGCATGACCAGTCTAAGCTCTCATTTTCTGCGTAAAAGCGGCAGCCACCACGATATATTTGACTTTGTCACAGCCGCAGCTCAGCCCACCCGTTGTCACGAGTGTCAAACTACACGCAATCAAACGAACTTCCTGGCAAAGATTTCAAAATAACATAGGGAAATATAGTATACTTCCGCTTACAATTAGGTTTTATTTGAGAGTACTGGGTTATACATGGGTCCCATACTATGGGACAAAGATATATAAGTTATTTATATTATGGTTTCCCAATCATTACATCCAAATAATGATCCAAAAACTGGCATGGACATTTTTAAAGGGATACCTTGACCTCTAATCTCAAGATAACTGAATGAAAATGAGTTCTATGGGTACAAACCAGTCTCTTATTTGCCTAAAGGGAGCTGGAGGGGGGCATACACCAGACAACTTATCATAGCCGACTGAGTCTGGTGTCATCTCTTCACTCAGCCAGAAACAGCTAACCACAGTAAAACACTCCCCCTTCTTCCTGTCTCTTCAGCGATTACTGTTACGCAGCTTTCTGAGTTAAGCTGTGTCCAAAAACACTGCTCAACTGCTATGTATGAACTTTTACAGGCTGCTTTATTCTGGGGATCATTAAAGTTTCATCCTCTGTTGTGCATCAAAAAAAACAACATTACTACTCTGAAAACAAGAGAGAAAGAGTGACTCATAATGGTAAACAGGAGGTTTACTGGCAATAAGCTTCATGTCAGCAAACAGTAGACATCATTTGTTTTTTAACAGTGGCCATCTCATCGGGAAAGGAAACTATACGTCAGGCTCCAAACTCACAATAGGCTGAGTTGAATGGTGCACAAAAGGCAAAGGTTTCAGAACAGCTTAAACTCTGATGCAACATGAAGAGTCATGAGTATATTTTGAGAGCTAAAAAATAATCTACTCTATTTAGGGTCATAGATTACCTTTATCATTCCCCGGTTCACACATATGAATAACAAAGAAACTTTGGACACATTAAAAGAAAGCAAATGTATTATATGTCACAACATGATTGATAATAAAGGTGCCATAACTGAAAGGAAAACTGATCCCCCCTTAATCAGTTTATGACAGTCAGAGATTTTGAGATATATTGAGTGTACATTTTGCATTTTGGCTTGAGAGTGATTCTCAGGGAGTTTCCAAAATGAAAACCGCTCCGTAGATTTCAATGTTCAATGTCAGTCGGTGGTCCAGGCTGAAATATCTTAACAACTAGTGGATATATTGCCATGACAGAGGATCCCAGAGGATTTATCTGAGTGACTTTGGTGATAGTCTGACTTTTCTTCAAGCGCCACCATGAGGTCATAATCTGAATATAATACTTTGGTTTATGTATTTGCAAAAGCTCTCTCAGACCGACTTAATTAGCCAATATTAGGATGCAAACACACTGAACTAAGGTGCTGACAATAAATATTATACATGCCGTACATTAGCATGTAAGCACTGTCATTGTAAGCTTGTTAGCATACTTATATTGGCATTTAGCTCAAAGCACCACTGTGCCTAAGTACAGCCTCACAGAATTGTGTGGCTTCTTTACCTGCGCTGCATTTACTATTACTCACTGTATGATGGTTTTTTAATGTGTTAATTCATATGTATTTGTTCAAAGTAGATCTAAAGAAAAGCTCAGCAATCATTCGTACATTTGACTTAATAGGAGCCGTGAAGTGTAAGTGTTGCCCAGCTGAGCGACAGGTCTCTCTAAGCTGCTCTAGAAGTCCAATGCTGTATCCACTGTCTACTGTTCCCTGTGCTGCTGTCTCTGGAGACTGTCACCAAAGGGAGAAAGAGCTTGATACAATTAATTCACCTCAGACCCTCATCGCCACCTTTGTTTATTTGTCCTTTCTCAGCGTTCTCGCCTTACATCCATCCCTCCATCCCTCCCCTTCTTTCTCTAGCTCTCTCTCTCCCTCTTCCACTGACCAGCTGCTCTCCTCTTCTCCACCCTCTCCACTAGTACCTGTCCCAGGGAGGACCAGCCCACAACACCCCACCCCTCCTGGTCCCGCAGGTAAACCAGAGACGCCCGGGGCACACCCTGGCTAGGAAAGGCCCAGGATCGCCTTACGGCCTAGCTGAAAAGGGCTCTTTCTAAAACAGCGAGAACATCACAGCCCCACTTTGAACAAAAGGGCCAAGGGAGTCGAGGGACCAGACCCCCTTTCAGGGCTTTGTCTGTCCGCCTGCTCTGAGTCAGACAGAGACTTGGACTGCGCTCAAGAACTGGGATTGGAGAAAGTGAAGGAGTCATAAGATTAAGGGCTGCAGGAGGTTTCACTGCATTTTAACACCGTCTAATAAGCAGAACTGAACATAAACTTTTAAAAACAGTGTGTAGCTAGAATGGACTTAGGTCTTTACAGCCCAAGTAAGCACTGATTTGACGTCTGCATTAAAACTGGACAAAATTAGCTTGAAAAGATACTTCTTTAAGCTCAGATATAACCATCATTTAAATTTTAATGGTTATGTTTAAGATTGAGAAAGGTCAATTACTAAAATATCAGGGATCCTATTTGTAAAAGTGTTATTAGTGTGCTCCTTTTACGTGCTAGAAATCATTTTGTAAGCGCATCAGTGCATTTAAGGAGACATGGAGCACTAATCCAGGGTCCCACTGACAAACTAAACCTCACAGAGGAAACCACTTAACTCCATAGGCAGGTAAAGTGACCTGTGTGTGTGTGTGTGTGTGTGTGTGTGTGTGATATGGCTCAGTCAGAGTATAGCTTAAGTACCTGAAAATCCCTCTCTTAACCTTCAGTCTCCTGCTGAACTGAAATTCAATTCTCAGAGCCCTCACTGAATGATAGAACACATCAGAGAACATTTAACCTGCATAACGCTGATAAGTAATGATTCAAAGAAGCAACACGAGAAGCACTATATATAAAATACACACTGAAGAGGTCCTTTAACATGGCTGCAGTCAGTCTGCAACCTTTTTTTAGCACAGAGGGGATTTTTAGTATCACTCTAAAATGCAGATTTAACAAAAAAATTCCTAAAAATGCCTGAGAGGGATATCCTGACACTTATGCAGTGTTACTCTCCAAAAGCCTGAGCCTATTGCTTCCCATAATGCAACATGATTTTAATTTCACTTCCTCTGTCTGAGGTGCCCACATCTCTCAATTTTTGTCTCCAAATAAAATATTTAACATTTGTAGTCTCCCTTTATAGCTTTAAGGGGAAATCCACCCTATAGAATAATTTATGTTGTAATATCCCAATAATCTTAGGAAGTGGAAATGAATCCCTCACCTGGAAAATTTCATTATGTATTACTCGTCCATTGAATTACTGGTGATAGCATTTCTGTACCATATGTCTTATCTGAATCCAGCTGTGAATCAAAAAATATGCACATATGACAGTAAAATCACCATGTTTATGGATTTAATTACAGAGATTTCATGGGAATTTGGGTTCAGAATGAAAATGTTTAAGGTAGAAATGTATTAACATGGGTACCTGTTATCTGGATATGACTAAATGGTGCCCATGCATAAGGGTTTAATATAACTAACCCTAATTTGAAAGACACTGTGGGACCTTTACTGTACTCGTTATAGCAGCGACAGGTCTGACTTGTGCAATAGGAAAGGGTCAGCAGAGGGCGACATACACTCTTGCAAACTCTCAGACTGTTATTCTCGCAATGTCAGCCTGTATGAGTGCTGGAACAACTTTAAGGCGTTCAACTTTCTATGAACAGCTGGCTTAGTCCTTGATTTGAAGAAACAAGAATACTGTGTATGAAATATATAGTACTGAAGGATATATTTAAGGAAAGTGATGATCAGGCTGATTAGACATCAAAAATCTGCATCTGTATACGATACAATTCAATACTATGCGATGCGATACAATATACCTTACTGTCACAGGGAAAATTACCCCAAATGCTGTGCACATGCAGTAATCTGTATGACTGATGCTGCAGGAAAAGGGTCTCATTTAAAATTGAAAAGCTTCAACGAATGAAGTAAACCTTTTGCTGTACCCTCGGAGTGATGGACAATATCACTGATTTGCATGTGCAGCCCTCAGTGCTCAGTGATCCAGTCAATTCAGCTCTTCTCATGTTGGCAAGTAGGACTTGAGTCCCCAAAGGCATCGATGAACTGCAGCATGTTGCCACTAGGGGTCCATGTGACCACATTCACAAACAGCACCATAGGTCACAGATCACAAGATCAAATTTGAATACACTTAAAGAAAAGAAGTGGAACTGATAGTTCTTTGCAACACGCAGTCCCAACTGAAACTAATAGTTACAAGATTCAGAAACTAAGCAAAAAGGTAGGGATATTTTATTGGTTTACTTTCCACAAGCGTCATATAATATACATATCACAAATGATGACAATGAATGTTTTCATTTTCAGAAGACAGTGTAGCTTCTTCTGCCATAGGAGACAGGAATCAGAAATCCAGATATCAGTTAGACCAAACCCCACAATGAAGATAAAAATGAAATGAAGAAAAATAAATAAAAGGAAGATGAAAATGAATAAATTTGAATTTAAAAAAAAGAGGGATTTCAAATCAAATTTGCTCTCCTTTAATACTGTCATCATCGTTTTTAATACATTGGTTAATATATGTTTGTATATACCAAAATAAAAAAAGCCTCAGGTCAAATGAAGGCTTATTATGTCACAGAGCGGAGAGAGAGAGTTGGAGGAGTTTCAGCAAAGCTTGGAGTCCCTCGATGTGACACACGCACACACAAACACACACACACACACACACACACACACACACACACACACACACAGACCACTGTTATTATCGGTCTGGAAGCTTCCAAGAACTAATTATTCCCAAGTGTTGAAATACCTGGAATATACCCGGTACATTCATCGTCATATTGCTGTTATTTATTTTTTTTAAATGTCATAAATGAAACTTCCATTTGACCTTTGTACTGGGACACAGGCAGAAATGTCTTGGACAGACATGT